GCAAAATCGCTTACTTTGGCTTTTTTTTTCAAGTGATTACCGAGCACTGATAATTTGATGTTGCTAACACAAGTAGAGTTTATCGCGTCACTGACCCCTGTGAGGCAGCTAAACATGCATGACAAAGGCACAGTAGAAAACTAACTGAACCGAAATAGAGAAATTTGAACCTACCCGATGAGAACGGTGATACTCCCACATTTTGTTGAATATAGCCACTTTTGAGCTCTAGAAGTGGTTAAAATGACGCAAGAAGCAGGCGTAACACCCACCATGTTCTTGAGCTGGTCTGTGTAGAGCCTTTCAAGCATGTAAACAGTAAGGAATTCCTCCAAACTAAAACCCTGCTCAAGAAAGATTTTCACAAAGTCGTGCCGGTCGCCCATCAGGGCCTGATACATGTAGTCGTTAAGCTGGCCTTTCTGCAAAGGCAAACATAAAGTTATAGCGGAAAATAATGCTAGTTCACCTTCCATCGTTTGTTTTCAAGAAAAATCTTCTCTCTGGCTATGTCGGCTCGATTCAGTGTCAGAGTTATCTCCAATTGTTCCAAGTTAAGCTGGTCCGGTGGAGTTGAAGTACCGGCTGAAACGCATGAATTATTCAGAGTACCATCGAAACAGCAATCAAAAACATCATTTAGCGCTTAATAAACACTTTCCCAACTTATTGATGATTATCATTTTAGTACATGAATCTACTGGAATTAGACATAAGTAGGTAGAAGACGCTTAATTAACTCGGTTCAATGCATTCTTCTTATTCTTCTTTAACTCCTTATCTGTCGATTTATTATCCTTCGAAGGTGGCAAATGCTAGCAATGTTTGGAGCTAATTACCAAGTGGGAAAAGGTTTTCCCCTTTGAATTAACAACTGAGGCTATTAAATAAGTTTAAAAAGAAGTTTCATATGCATCAAGGGATAGTGCCTCCCCTAAAACTTTTGTTCGGCTACTTTTTGCAAGGCAAAAATGCTTTGGCCATGCCAAGCAGAGACAATGATAGCTTTAACCAACTGATGGTAAATAATAGTCCCTTTTTAACGACACTCCGAACACACACACATGCACACCGAACGACCATTTTCCAAAACTTCGTCATCGGCTAAACTTAGCCAGCCGCCATGGGTTAAGCGTATGCCTATGAATGTTTCGCTCCGGTAAGAGCCATTTACTATTCCTGGTATTTCGATTACGTGTGTCTGTCTATCCCTCCGTCTGCCGTCGCCCTGTGAATGTCTGGTCCATGTGAGAGTATCAATTCTGCCCCACTACCATCTCCATCTGATCCTCAATTTCTGGACACGTAATCAGAACTGTTTATTTAAGACAGTTTTCCTCTTTTCAGAATGATTTTTGGGTGAAGAGAAAACAACGTCTACTGACCTCTCTCTGGGACAGACAAAACCGCACGTTTATGAATGCATAAAAATATTGTCTCTAAAATCAAAGTAATGCATCTTCCTATGCCGAGAGGCATTATTTACCGTCACTAGCATTCCACAAACTCGTAGCAATGTATGAAAAAGTAACACTAAGCGAAAGTGAATGGCCGGAAGAGATGCGCTTCTCCGTCATACAAGGTTTGTGAATTTTGCAAGAACAAGGAAGATATGGTAAAAAAGCCACCACCTCAATGCCGATTATTTCAACCTGGGTGGACAATTTTTGGCTGGATTAAGAACCGATGGTAAGCCTGACACATTCAAGCTGCTACTACATGCGTGAAGTGGGTGCGACACCTCGGATTTGGTTGTTTACTCGCTCCACCGATTAAATACTTGGACGTGATCATTTTCATACCGCTTGCCAAAAGGGAAGATATCATGTAACCATCGAGATCGGAATCCTCTTCCATGTCAAAGACGAGCACAAGGGAGACGTAATCAGTTATTATTTCCGCCAGCATAGAGACTTCCTCTGCAAAATTATAGTAGTCAGGATGCATTTCCCGCAGGAATTGTTCCATCACAGACCCCAATCTGAAACACGAGTGAGCAATTTAGTTGTAGGGACTTTTACTTGCAGAACATGTGGTATGAATTGAGCCATAATAAAAAGTGGTGGACAACAGGATACATGAGCTGACCTCGTCTCTAGAGAAATTGCCTCCTTGTCTTCTAGAATTTCCTCTGTCTCCATTTTCGTGGCTGCCTCCAGTCCAAAGGCAATAACGTCCGCAGCACCAGACGTGCCCTGAAAAAAGTGAAGTCGTGCAGGCTATTAATATTTCACAACCTGATTATTACTTTTCTAAGTTAAGTGTTCAGGACTTCAAATCATTCCCCAAGTGAACAGCCACTATATGTCAAGAGAAGATCCCCAGTGCACATCCATTTCCTCCATACCAAAATCAAATCTTTCAAGTCGACCTTTGGTTAAAGACTAGTGTCACATAAAATAACTTCTTTCCTGATTCCTCAGAAAGGCGCCACAAGACGTCTCCTCCCGAAATCGGCAAAAAAATGAGTGCTGCACAAATCACAATCTCTGCAAAGCTTTGAAGTGGACAATGCCTAGGTAACATAAGGAAATATGCACACCGAGGTCACGCTCACATAAAAATTACGGCCGTTAGTCGGTCAGAAGGTGACAGCTTTATTGGATCCTTTCTCAAACCATGCATATTTGCATTGTGCTACCGATTTAATTCAAATTTCTCTTTTTTCACCTAACAACAAAAAAATATGGAAATCCGTTATGCTCGAAAGGCACAACCAAACACATCACACAGTGACGCCGGAATGGTCGTGATAAGGTCTGCCAGATACAAGCGGGAGAGTATGTTGGCGTCGACACCAAAGGCGTACATATATTATTGTGCCCTGGAAGCAAACGCAAAGGACTGGACTATTTACTAGCCAACCGCAAATTCTGGCTCACGTGTGCATCGTTTGATGTAATGCGAACTGTTTTACTTCTTAATTAACCACAATAACATGCTCATTTTCAGTAGATCTGATGTGTGGTGGCTAGCCAAAGTTTTGGTTCATAAAAACACCATGCACTCATAAAAGTAGCATGAAGCAGTTGAAATTTTGCTCCATTGCATATGAAAGCAAGTGTACTTATTACCAGAGCGATTTACTAGAACTATACAGGAGTATTAAGGGAAAGAGCGGCTCACTTTTGCCACCACCATGGGACACTGATTTTGCATGATTGAACAGTAGACTTGTCGCAGAGTAAATCTGTCTCCACCAATGACGAGACCACACATGGGAATTCGAACATCCTCTCCTGAAGCATTATTCCCACCACCACCACCGCCGCCGCCGCCGCCTGCACTACCATCGCCTGCACCGCCGCTACCACCGCTCTTGAACTTTGAACTAGAACGAGAGAGCGACCTGCCCCCTATCTTCTCACTAGTCTGGCGTCTCAGCGTAGATTTGCGTTTGAGCGTTGTGGCATAATCCTCCTCATGCTCAGTAGGCGTTCCGGTGGTGGTTTTACTCACCCCGCCGCTTTGTGAAAGACGCGCTGCGGAAGGCGGAGGCTCCACTTCGGGTGTAGAGGTACTCCAGAGCGAGATACAACGCTCGAAACGAGCCCGCATTCCGGCTTCACGACCTTTAGTGTGGTCGGTCTTTGCAGTCTCCGCAAAAATGAAGTAGTTATGGTTGGGGTCAAGCGCCAGCTCCTCCACGTCCGTGCGCTTCTGCATGCTACTCACAGTAGCTGCATTCGCAGTGGCAGTCTCGGTGGTCGAACTTTGCTCTGCGTCTGAATCCTTGTCCTCCTCTGATTGGTAGACTGCTGTGCCCTTAAAAGGGTGACAAAGTGACAAATTTAATTTCCTCAATCTACTTATCAGAAGAAAAATCGCATCTGAAAGCATTTGCTGTATTTTCATGGCATAAACCCAAAAACCTAGGGCAATCGGATTGCCTCAGAGCATCGAAATTCCTGCAAATCAACTGTTTGTCTCGACCATCCTGCAAGGACTGATTGTTTCAGCAAAAACTACATTCAAAACAATTTTAGTTTGGGGCCGCGACTTACTGCATCTGTGCGTCAATCCATTTCATGCACTCGGAATGCAAGGATGACTGTTTTGGTTTATATCATAGCTACATAGTAATTGTCCTTTTTTAACAGTGTACCATACCTTATCATGCGAAAGGGCGTGGAGTCACAACCAACTTGACGAACATGCCTACTGCGAAATGGGACGACACAGAAGGCTAAAGAGGTGGGCACCTCTGTTTTTATTCCAACGAGGACTGTTTAATTCACTCAAGTCTCACCAGACTGCAAGAGTGACTCAAATCCTCTTCAATGCAAGGAGGTATGTCCTTGACAGAAAGTGGAAAGTAATTCCAGACTTCTACATAGTTTTCCGTCTCTAAATGCAGTTTGTAGTAGGATATTAACAGTGTAGTAACTTAAATGAAGCCGAAGTGAGTGTTCATGACCGATCTCAACATATGCACACTAGGCATTGTCCTTCCATTCCTTAACTGGATTTGGGCATGCCAACCACTGTGGAAACAACAGAAAGTTAAATTGGGAAGGTTTGGGAAAACACCCATTCATGAGACGATTCGTCAAGCGGACACGTAAATAATTGCACCAATAAATTTTGCAGGTGCTTTTAATGATCATATTTCAAGCTACAATTGACCTCTGGTTAAGAAAAAACATGGGCATCTGTCTCCCACACCATGGAAACAAAACAAGATGCTTAATTTGTACTAGACATTGTGGGATTCTATGAGCACGCAATATCAACTTATTTAGAAGTTTGGTCTGGTTAGATGATTACGAAAGTGCGTGGCTCAAGTCCACTGTAATGATGGCAACACCTTTGAATAGCTTTTTGAGTGGCTGACGAATTTGACCGATTCCAAGAATATGGAGGGAGGGAGAGAAGGAAGATACAAATTAATATCAGTAGGAAAGCGAACAGCACAGAAGTGATGTGGGGCAGGTAGGCAAGCAGGCATGCGGATTAGTGGGTGAGGTAGAGGGTCTGATTAAATATTTATGTCGACGTTCCACCTGCCAGGACATAAACACAAAGAAAAAAGATTTGTTTGCGCAGGACATGACCACCACAAGCCTCTGGTCACCACGTGGTGGCCATTGCTGATAGTGGTGTTGGTGCTTCTAGCCCTGCCGCCTACGGCATGCATTGCCCTCTAATGAGGCACGATGGGTGTGCACTTATGCCTCGTGGAAATGCACCCACTTCACCAGATAGTCACATACACACACACACGCACAAGAGGTATTGCATCTCACCAAGAGCCTCAATAGGCTGCCGACCTCCTCGGTTCAATCCTAACAAGCTGATAAAGCAGTTGTAAGAGCAATTGCTGTTTCAGAACAAAAAATGGATCGAGGAAGGGAAAATTGGTCCATATAATTGGGTCGCTAGGTTCCGCTTCTCGCTTTGAATGGGAATTGTGCTCTTGTGTGTAATGCTGTCCTCCACCAACCGTAAATGATCTTAACTTATGCCTCTTGGGAGTGATTATCTACCATAGGGAAGGTACATTTCTTGCAATCCACTTTTATGGCTTGTAGAATAGCTTTGCGCGCACTCTCTGTAGCAATTTGGTAATTTCACTCAACTGTATGTTGAACCGCTGCAGTATCGCGATCCCTGCAAGTCCTCTTTCCTCCTTATGGTAGAGTCTTCATCTCGCTGTAGCGTCTACCCAACTACATCAGCCCACTTCGACTCACTTGGAACGTGGAGGACGACTCGGATCCTCGCAGTCCTTACATTTTGAAACTTCATTTAATTTAATTTATGCTCACTTTCTCTGATAGCGTTAAATGTCACCGTAAACACAAATTTAAATTCAGAAGTAGTGGATAGAGGAGAAATTTGTTCAGATTTTAATCAAACATTTATGGATACTAAAGTTGACCACTCATTTAATAAAACACGATACTAACCAAATTCATGAAAGTGATTTTGTCCGTGGTTAAAACATAAGATTCGGATTAGCTCGATGCGGGCGAGTGTTTTTGGTTAGCGAAGCCTTTGCTCACCCAAAAGACAAGTCTTCCATCGCTTAAGGAGCAGTGATGTTAAGGAATGGAAAGTAAATCTGTTTTTCCTTGCCTCCTTTGAGGTGTACAGTTGCAACTATGAAAAATTAATCTTTTGTGCCAATTCCAAACCCTTCAGTAGCATTTATGTGTCGGTGTTTTGTCACAAAACAATAACGGAAGTTGCCTTTGCTTCTGCATTAGTTTTTGTGTGAGACAATTACGAAGCGGCGTTTCCCTAGTTGAAGTGGTCCATCCAGAAAAAGCCATTTCGGTACGGCTTGTTCTACCGGAGGAAATGCACCTTAAAATGGCCGTTGTGAGTCCCCATTGCCCACTGGAAGGCAAATCGTGTTTGTGCGCACCACGGAACGGAAGTATTTAATGGAAACTTCTTTATCAGGAAAGTAAGCGACTATCCTTCAAAGACACATGAAACAGGATACTAAGTAGCTTCAACTGGCATTCAGTGTTCAGCCTGTTTGAAGGTCAAGATCGACAAGTACCAAGGAAGGCGATGGAGAGTAGGTGGTTGGAATTGGGACATCTCCACGCCAAGAGTTCCTATGGCAAGGCATGAATACTGCAGTTCCTGGAGTGAATGGCACAGCGGTATGCTTGGGACCATGAACTCAACAAAGCCGTCCGCACCTCTCTCTACATCCGTCTGTTGTCTCTTAAATACCTAGCCTTTGTGAGCAGAATGAATGTGTTGAGGAAGCACATCGCCCCTTTACTTCAGAGCCCGTCCATTGGCGTATGTGAATGGCACTTCGTAGGTTCCTTAAGTGCCTCCTGCAGGTCATTCCCATCCAATGCCAAAGTAGACTAGAGCGTACCCAAATGGACAAAAGAAAATCCGGAGAGAATTCTATCACATCACTGAAGTTGTGTTAAGCGTTTAAAGCTTTGGATTGTGAGATGGCAGGCAAGAGTTTATTGGTTCTACAAGAAGCAGCTCCATTTGGTAATGGCAGTAAGAAGTTACAGAGCAAAATCTTACACAATTCCACATTCCATTGCATAAGAAAGCAAATATCAGTGAATAGTTCATTATATGGAAACGAACAGTCAATGAAGCGGCCCTCTCAAGTACCATGGCGCATAAGAACATCCTGAGAAAGTTGGACGTGGCTTTGTTACTTAGAGCCCTTCCCCAGTCAGTCATGAATAGACGGATTGGATTTGCATTTGAGCTGACGCTTGATCGGGCGAGGGGAGAGAGGAGGCGACTAAACCACCGCAATAGAGCCAGTCGCCCAGGCACCCTCACGGCGACTGTAATCGCCTCAATCAATAGGTTTTGATAAATAATGCAGGATAAATAGAGGTAATCGCACCGACAACTTATTATCTGCCCTCGGCTCATGAGTCAGGGGCAGAATGTGCAATCACTTTAACCACCAGTAGGTTTAGTGAGCTCAGTTGTATTTGCAGTAAATTTTCCTCCAAAAAATCTTCTCATCCCTTTCTCTCCTCCTTTTTAAAGTACTTTCGTGCAGTTCACAGCCACTCGTACTTCACTACCCACCGCAATTCAATTTGAAGCATTCATTCATGAAATTTAATTCATGTTAAAAATCTTTGCCCTAGACTCTGTGCCTTTGTAAAAGCCTCTGTTGATGGGTGGTGAGGATTGCCGTTTTTTTCATGAACAATTGGGGGACAATAAAACGTACTGAATACGATCCATGACATTGTTTATCGTCAAACAATGTAATGATTAACAGTCCCCAACTTTGAAGCACCTCTTCCTACCACTTTATTCACTCTGTTCGTCAAAAGTGTGCTTGAAATGTGTCCATAAACGCAACCGCACACCAGCAACGCTCAACCACTCTAACCACCGACTTGGAAGAGTTGATGAAGCAAGGCTCAGCAAATTTCGTGTTCCTCTAATCATATCCTCCATGAAATGCGGATTTTACGGACGAGATGAGTTTGGAAGTTGTTAGAAGGACGACAACTGCTGTGTGCACCTCATGTTATTCATGAGTACTTGGATCCAAGTTCTGGGAGGTTTAATGTGACTATGGAAGCCTTGCTTTATTATTACTGCAATAAGACCTCAGGCAGCATAAATCCCAGCTACAAACTCAGCGACAGCAAAGTGGACTATTTATTTCAACATTCGCCGGACAAACATGCGTTACACGAGCTATGACGACAAGTGACGTTTGAAAATAGGATATTCAAGAAGGCAAAAAAGATGAACAAACCTCTTCAAGAGCAGCTTCCAAAATGTCGTTCTTCTTGACGCAACCCCAACTGGAAATACCGAAGGCAAGCATTCTATTGCCACCGTATGCATCCGTATAATCCCTCACAGCCTCACCGGCCAGTTTCATGATTCCTAGTTGGAATCCTCCAGTCACTATCCAACATCCTACATGCAAAGAGAACAAAACACGACTTATGCTCAGATTGTGGAGTTTCCCACTCGCCTGCCTAAGTAGTCCATTCATCCATCGTGATGATGAAGAGGACAGCATTTTGTTCTTAACGATGGAATATTTCATCGTGTCTGCTTTGCTTTGCATAAATCATCGCTTTATGTTTCGTGCTTTATGTCTTGGTTTTATGGAATTTCGTAAGATATCATCTGTGAGATGGAGCCAGGTCGTTCAATACCCACCAAGTGCACAACCAAACTTTTGGGGCACAGCACTCGAAAGCACATTTTTGTAAATACTTGAAATATTTCCTTCCCTCTGCTCCTTGCAATAAACTTCAACATTAATAACTATAAATAAACTTTCCTTATTTCTGGAATTCGTAGGACATCATGGAAGTTTCGTGATAACCGCTTCACCTAATGCAGGCTTTTGATTTCGTCTGCAAGTTGCAGATTAAGTGCGTTATTTCCTTGCAAAAAAGTTGGCTACTTTGCCCGCCTCGCAATCACCATCGCAAAATGCTTGTTGTTGTTCTTAGAAAAGGCTGCGTCTGGCCACCATGAGAAAACAAAGACTTCGAGGCTAGAACAAGCCAGACGACAATTGGAAGGGAACCTTCTTGGCGTACTCCCTAACTCTGTTTGGTGTGCTTGAACTAAGTCGACTAAAATTGCTTGACTACCAGCTGCCAAAGTTACCTGCTTTTGGGGCGGACAAGTGGCACCATCGTTGATGCGTTGACGACGAAGTCGTTTGCGTGGCTTTTGCAATTGTTAGTCACACACAATAAAATTCCCCTCAAATATTTATGTGTAAACAAAGGCCTCAACGACCCAAGAATAAGTTGTCGATGGAAAGTGCGCAAGTGTGTCTGGTGTTCATGCTAAAGGGGCATGTTTATGAACGCCTTCATGTGGGATCAAAGTTAATTTTTGACGGAAATACAACTGGCTTTGGTGGCTGTTTTCTGCCCGGATGGGATGGAACATGGGTTTGTTCGCTGTCTGTGGTAAAGTAATTCTACCGCTAACACAAATCCCGATGGAGAAGACTTCCTTCTTTGTAATCGAACTTTTGGAGGCTGAAAACTACCTTATTTTTGCAACAAAACCTAACAAAGATCCACTGCTATGCGTTGAAGCTACTTAAATTCAGAAGTTTTGATAAATAACTGTTATTTTTAAATAAATTCTATTTTTACCTCAATACAATTGTAACATAAATGGTTTCATGCTGATTTTTTTGGTAAAAAAGAAGAACAATGCATGACGCACCGCTGTCGGCAGCTTTCCAGAGGCCCTTTTTGAAAATCATTTTGAGTTTTCGCTTTTTCTCAAAATCCGTTCCATAGACGGTTATGATGAGAGTGGGTGGCTTCAGACCCCATCGGCGCTGCAAAAGGTCCCTGATTGCACTGTCCGATATGCATGGCGACAACTTGGCGAACTTTCAAATGAAAAGTTAATCAAGATCAGCTTAATTCCATGGGGAATAGGGCAGAGGAGGTCCAGACTGAGACACTTATGCCTTCAAGGCCTCCCAAACACCCGGGTTGAAACCGCCCTCCTCACTGTTGAACACTTGGCATAGTTCCTTCTAACTCCTTACACTAAGCTCCCACTGACCTGTTGAGTGGTTATGCAAAAAGGTTTCTGTGGAAAACGCTTTTGGTTGCAGCAATAAAGGTGAAATGAATGCAAAAAAAATGTGACCATGTATGGAATTACGGAAGTGTTGAGGGAGAGAATTCTGGAACCGCATTTTATGACTTCCACCGACCTTAAATAAAAACCACATATTTGCAGCATAAAGTCGTCAATTGACATCGTAAAAATTTAGTCAAAATTATTCTAATAGTAAAAGGGAGTGACTACATTGTCGTGGGCGATCCTGATTCCCTTGAACCTCTCCGACTACCACTCCACCTTCAATCGAACCAGTAAATGGAGGGAGGAGGAAGGAACAGAGGAAGAAAAGGGGGGAAGAGAAGGAAGGGAGGGAGTTTCAGCTCTCATAGCTTAATAAATTATAATTTTGAAAATTTTTCCTCCTTCAATTTAACAGCATTTTACTTTGCAATGCTTCTGTCGCGTGAGGGAACGAAGTTAAAAGGACGTCGACCGCATGATTTATGCCCGACTCACTGTGAAACGACAGTAAAAATACAATTTGTATTAACTCATTGCGAAGTCGTTCTTTGCGTCATCACTTCAGTCATTATCCTACTCGATTCTCCTTCCGAAAAGTTTATGGCGAATGTTTGAATTGACAGAGGGTCGGGGTGATGAGTCCGTGTGCTTTCACTCCACTGACCCCACCAGACCATATGCAAACCGTTGTTATCAGGAGACTAGTTGAAAATTCTCCAACCATTCATACTACTTGGATCCTCTTGGTGCGCTATGCTTTCCAATTGAATAAATATTTCACTAGATAAATGATTAGGAGCGTTACTCTGCAAACAAACTAAGATAAATAAGAGCTAATTGGGAATTCGAAACCCACAAAATGCTTTCGCAAAGATTAAGAGTAAGACAGTGAAGTACGAAAACAGTGTACAAATGACCAAGTATGTAAAATTGTAAATGGAAATGAAGAAGCAAGAAAGCTAATCGGATAAAATATGCAAGTACCGTTGGAGAGAAGAGTTCGAATCTTTGACTCACTCTTGCGGTTTGATTTAATCCAGTGAATTCAATTTCTCCATGAAAACGGTGGACTTGGGAGGGTCTTCGAATGGATGCACTGGGGAGCAATGCATGGGGAGAATGCGCTGTGCTCCCAGTGGATTCATTGATGGTAGAGCCTACCCGACTTTGCCGGTGTCGGATCGTCGACATCTGCCTTAGCAGAGAGCCACCTACACCACCACCGCCCGAATCTGCCATAATTTCTGCCCGAAATTGTCTACTTTCTTGATCCTGTTCACCTTACTACTCAGTAGCATAAGTTGTGAATGAGTTCTTCGATTTCCCCTTCTCACTGTAATGCCAACAGCTGACTTTAAGGCTTCCCAATCGCATCATCATGGCACAATCATCTCTCCTGCCGATTGGTTCCATCGGTGACCAACCATCTCGAAAGTGGTCCGGAACAGCCAATGAAATTGTTCAGGTAACCACACCCATTGCTTTGATTGGCTGCTGATGGGGAACTGATTTATGATTTCCGTTTGATCATTTTTAAGCCGCTGTAAGCTCAAGTAAGCCTAGCAGCTTCTATGATCCACCATAAACGTAGTAGTTAAGTAGAAATGTGACTTTACCGGTGATGTACATAAAAGTCTCCTTCAAACGAAACGGGGACTAAAAGACTGAGCTTTTAGAAGACTATGAACCAGTTCATGTATCCAAAGTTCTTAGTTCTTTTGGTATCATACGAAGGTGTCTTCAAATTTTTCCGTATTTTAACATTTGTCCTTTAGTAATTTACAGTGAAACTCCCCAAATCTCTTTTTCACTAATTTTTTTACAGAGTAAGGGTTGATCTGGAAAACCAGATGTCGAATACGGAGAGAGAATAAGTAAGGTTTCTTCGCATATGATAAATTTAGAAACAAACGATACCTTGAAATGAATTAAGACGTCTTCATTACTAAATAGCGGTCCTTATTCTAAAACATGCAGGATGTTATGATGGCTTACAAATGCAAGTACTTCCAAAGTGGATGAGTTACCACCGAAATGGAGTAAAAAGCAGAATAAATTCACGTTAAATAGACTAGTAAATGTGTGCTCCAATAATATTGCATAAAATAACTCTAATTTTGTCTCTAATAGGCTAGGCGCACTGAAGGAATCGGTTGAAAGGTCCTATTTTGCTCAAATACGGTCACCAATGGATATTTCGATTTTGTGGGTTTCTAGGCCATGGTGATAGCTACTACATGCTGTTACACGTCAAAAATGTGTATTCTGCTTGCAATTATGCGCTCTTGTTGTTTCAAAAAGTAATCGGGAGGCTGCGCTGATGGCAGTGGAAAGGGGACATGCATCCCCACTTCTACTGTCGGTTGATTAACATCCGCAGAGCAGTAGAAGAGCACAGGCTATGAATATGGAGTTTAGAGTGACTCCAAAAACAGATTAGCTAATTATGGAGCCTGCCTTTATCATTACCTTAGTTTCGAGGCCTTCAAGGGAGTCACCAACAGATGAAGCATCTAAAATATCTCGTTACAGAGAAATTGTATAAGTCGACGTTGGAGATGTGCACACTCGGTATCTCTGTCACTTCCTTCCTTTTGGAGCCAAATTGATAGATTTGTATAAGCAGCTGTGAAGAGAAAATGAAGCTATATGTGGGTATTAACCTGAAATTTCATTGTCATGAAATTATACTGAGCATTATGAATACTCCCCTCAACCTCAATATAAATCCTCCAACTTGGTGGAGCTTCATATCCGGTAGTGGCATTGAAAAAAATCAGTGATATGTTTGCGAAGCATTTTTTTATTTGCGAGTGATCCGTGTGTGTTTTGCTTTGCAGCACCGAAGAATTGCTTTCTGACGTGTGCGATCGACCATTGACCACGCGGCGACATCCTCAATGGAGGAAAGGAGCTGTTCAGCGCAGGACGTTCAACGCTCAGCTTTGGTAAAGAACTGTGCGGGATCTTCTTCGTTGTGCCTTTACTTAGCAGCTTGGCCCATTGGTCATGTCGGTGGCTTAACCCTGCCACACATCTGTGCTGTCCGTTCTGCTTGGACATTGTCGTTTCTTCGGCCTTGCATAATTCATCATTTTATTACAGAACAGGATGTTAATTTATTAAGAAAAAGCTTTTACTATTTTCTTAACATAACAAAATACTAGCTGTTGGCGAAACTGGTGACTAGGTTTGCGGGGGGATTCAAGATTTTGTGACTACCTCAGTGGACGGAGACTAAAATGAGTTTCACAGTGCCCATAAAATAGCAGCAAATCGAGGTGGAGTGAAACATGTGGTCATTTCCTACAAACAAAGATGTCACATATAAAGGTAGGTATTTTCAACTTACCGGTTCTAAGAATGTGATGGTGAAGATGAAAGGAAAACTTTACTCGTTCACCTCCACCCCTTCAATCTTGCTGACGTGGTTGCTATACTTTGGTGGTCGAACTGCTGAATGGCCTCCTCTTTCCCGCCACTTGAGGTCAACACTCCTTTCCTAGAAGTTGCAAGTCAACCTTTTAACGGTCTATAGCAGCTGCGAATAGCTTCATCGGTACTCACTGAGGCAACAAGTTAGTAAAATAAGGAAATTGTACAAAAGCAAGGCAAAAAAATGCACTTTCGTTTTTTGCCATTTTGCATACCAAAGCAATGCGTGATTGTATTGTCTGTTCCACCTTCTTCTAAGGTGCTGATTTCCCTGTGTGGAATGGATCTGCTTTTTTCACTCAGACGTGTGTCCTCACCATCTACTTTAAAAGTGCTAATTTCATCCTTCACTCTACTTACTTAAGTCCGTAATCCATTTCCACTTGTGACGCGTTTTTTCCCTTACCACGGACAGCAGTCTCGCTCGTCGTCTTTTTGGTGAATGTGAATGAAGCAACTTTTATCTAGCGCTTTGCATTTGCCATTTGCAAGGCTTCTTGTTGAGGGCATTAGTAACTCAGGAAGCATTACAAAATGATCCACAACTTGCCTGCCTACGGAGGGGACAAGGTGGCCTCTTAACCATTGACACAACCTTCCAGTCCTGTACCGCTCGAAAGGCCAGTAGAGGGAAAGATCAGGATCCTACTTGAGGTCTCACAATCTTCAATTTGGTCAAAAGCTTCTTTTAAGTGCCTTTAAAAGCGTTTTAAGCAATTACTTGAATATTTTTTTGTCTTAAAAGTGTGGCTCTCAGAGACAATCACTAAGGCAAAAGAGAACTCAGCACTGCTTGAACAGATTCTGCACCGATGGCAGAGCTGGGCAGCTACTGGCAGAGGCTCAAAGGCGGAGCCCTTAGCAATCACCAAATCAGAAGAGCGGGTTATGTAAGCAGAAGAGCACTTGACGTTGCCAATGCGTAAGTGCACGCAATCATGCTAACAGCAGAGGAAGCGCCTCACAAATGGACTCTTAGATGATGAATACACGATAGGGTATTGCCAAACCGTAAAATCGGTTTCACTTTATTAGAATGCCGAGGAGTAGGTGGAACCTGAAGAGGCAAAATTTTGGAGTTTCAAGAGAGCATGGCTAACCGCCGCGTTCCTGTTAGGCACATTCAAAAATGGTGTGCCTCAACTGATTGCAAAGGGGAGGTGGACCGCTTTCAAGGATATTTTGAATGCCTGTATCAACCCAAAAAGTAATATCGACGACGAATGGACCATGGCAACAGCCTCCCTGTGGACACTGTCTTAAAGCATGTTAAAATCTACATACGAAAGATAAATTATTTTAGGAAAGAAAAAGTTGTGTAGCTTAAGTCAAGCATTCGGTCGTTTGACCTTCCATACGAAGTGGATAATGTGTAGTAAAATGCAAAAAGGTAGTAAATTTTGACGCACCTTCAACACTTGTGATGCCAGATTGCATGACAAAGTTTTACCTTTGCGCACTTATAAATCATTTCCTGACTAGCATTTATTTCTTCCAACAGTCAACTGCTACAGCACACACACTCGACAGGAAGTTCAACTCGGTGAGGAGTGCCCGCAACGGAGGGTGTTTGGCATTCTGAGCAGGGAAGGAAAAAGGTCTGCACATCATGCATCAGGTGCTGCATTTCGAGCGCAGCGCATAACTTGCGTGGATTTGAAGCGCCTTCACTTACCACCGAGTTGCTCAATTTAGACAAAATGGCAAAGATCAAAGCGGTTCGGTGAAGTGGGAAATCCAACGCATTCAAAAAGTTTTCCACCTTCTTTCTAGCAGGTTATTCTCCAGCCAAATGCGTCCAATAACACTTTTTTATGTATGAGAGGTGCCTCAAGTGCCTTTTTGTGTGAAAAATTTTAATAGGAGTTTGAAGTAGCTTAGCAATAAAGCACCGAAATGGATGAATAAGCGCACCACTTTAGTTTTATTTAAGTTCCTTTTTAAGCATGGCTGTTTTTTCCAATTTGGCATCATTATTAAAACAATAGGTTAATAGCTAATGCTAAAAAGGCTTTAAACCTTCTGACATGACAATGCTTACCCTTGGAAGGGAATAAATTTTGTTAGCAAACGATTGCATTCATGCTGAGTACTTCAACCTTGAATAAAGTTGTTCAATGAATGAATGAATGAATTTTTTCAGTCCTTCAAATAGTTTGATTGTAGTACCCCGATTCGGTGAGGTGTGGGTCTTGACGCTTCGCTGCTGTACTTCCATTGGTCAACCGGGCCATTCCAGCATTCTCCACCCATTCCTTTTTGTAAGCGTATATAGCCTGCCCAAGTGTTCGTAAGCGTTTATGTCCTTTTGGAAAGTCTCAAGGCGTTATTGTAATGGCGCCAGGCGGTAACAATCACCTTTGAGAAGATGTGCCCCGATTTCCACTGATGGGTACGACGGACGTTGGTGGACGAGAGAATCAACGGCAGCGCCTACAGAAGAACTAAAAATATTGCCTACCTTTGACAGCGACCTCTGTGAAGGTGTCAACTAAATGAAAGACGGTGCCTTTCCTCATTACTTGATGGACAGCAGTGCAGAGAATCCACCGTGGCAGGGTGGATCATATGCAAAAGTTCACTACCACGAAACTTGTTCAAGTCTTGTTATGTGACTTCTTTTTAGTTCAACCACAAACAAATACAATCATCCCTTCCACATAACAGTTCTCAAGTTGGAAAAAACCTCAAATTTAGTGCACTTCACAAGAGGACTCAGTGATGATGCGGTCGAGTAATACCTCACTTGCATGGAAATTCCATGACTGATAGAAAATTGCTCCTGAGTGAATCATCGCAAAGCA